CCCCCCATTCTAGCTCTCCTTTCTTGGAGTTTACTCAGTTGAGCTTAGCGGTTTATAGATTTCTGTGGCTACCGGGAGTCATCCTGCAAAACACATGAACTAACTGCACAGTGATTAAATTTGCTAAGTAATTGGTTTAACAAACAGTGATTTGCCATGGGAGATACACATCCCCCCACATCATTACTAGCTCAAGTAGGAGCTGCATTTGAACTTCCACCTCCCACTCCATAGACCAGCTCGCTCAAGTATAAAGCACTGCACAACATGATTTAGTGACTGTGGGTGGACAGGCAATAGAACAGGGCACTGAGGGATAGCTCAGCCTGACAGTACTGAAAAGATAAGATTTGAGTTAAGCAGCTGTAAAAACAAGACAAAACAAAACAAAAACAGGATTGCATCAAGTTCTGTGCAAACACACTGATACTACTGTACAAAATACAAGTACTAGATACAAAAAAAACAGCTAATTAAGATTTTTCTCTCAGTTTAAACAAAGAAAATATGAAATTATTTGTAGGTATGGTAATGTGCACTCGGTTACTACACATATTGAAGATAAATTGTTCGAGTCACTCACATAGGTGCTACTTAGGATTAAAACAACCAGACAAGATTGTTCTTAATTAAGAAGTTATAACCAGCTGTCCTGTATTCTCTTTTGTTTGTGTACTTTCCACTGGAACTCTAGAGAGTAATGTAAGTTGTAGATAATCTTTGCTAGAAGAAAATAAGGAGCATGATAAGTCACAAGAGAGATAATTATTTAAATTCTAAATTTTAGTGCCGACATAAAATTAATCAGAAACTGCTGCATGGTTTATAAATTAAAAACTTTACCAAATGACTTGAAATCTGGTTTAGATATGGCAACATGCCCAGACAGAGCACATTAGGAATAAATTGTTGATTTAAAACATATTCATTGATGGTGTCATTAGTGCAGTCCTAGCCTACCAAGTACCATGCTTCCCCAAAACCCCACATTTTTTTATTGCTTTTCCACAAGAAGGATTAGTTTTCTAGCTTAATACAGGAAATGCAAGTGGCATAAGCAAAATGACTAGGAAAAAACGCCTGTATGTTTTTTTCTTTTTGCTACTGATCAACTTGAAATGACAGTCCCTTAACTAGGAAGGCACTCACAGTCAGCAGGTCTTTGACAATTAAAAGTGGCACTGCAGTGGTCATAGGAAAGAATTCTTTGCAAACGTCTCCAGCAGCATCTGTAGGGATGCAAATAAAGAACTTATGACTTTAACTAGTAGTTTGATTGTTGGCACTCAAAAGTCCATGAAGCTTCCCAGAGTAGGTGTGTGGGGTTTTTTCCTTTGCCATAGCTGTATTTACCATACCCTACAACAGGGGAGCTTTGCAGTTCTGCTCTCAGACAGCTGCAGAGGTGGTCACTATCAGCACATTGATGTCCTCTATCCAATTCACGTCACACACTGTCATAATTAACACAGAAGCCAAATCACAGAAACCAAACTGTCGTCTTTCTGTTATGGGACTGTGTTGTTTATAACAGGGGAGGCTGGCAGACCAGTAAGGAAATTTGAAGATGTCACTGTTCTCTGCAGTGCAGTCATACTTAACTAATTAAAATATCTTGGTATTCCAGCACTATCAACCTAAAGATCCAGTTATTTCAAGCCTAAATATAAGGTTTTAAAAATATATTAAATAGGAAAATATTAAAGGTCATACCTTCACCTTCAAAGTATATTATTTTGATATGATAATAAATAACAAGGTATTTTTTCTGGTTTCTTAATAATGTCCAGATGAATTAATGTCTAGATGATATGCAGGCAATTTTAATTATCTTAATTAGCCTATTTTATCTTCATTACAGAGACTTATTCAGTATTCACTCCAATATTTTCCCAGTATTTTTCACCATCTTGGCTATTAGTTTACTGCATAAAAGGAGGTGTCATTGCTTTTATTTATCTCCCTTGTTAAACAGCAGTGCAAGTCTAGAAGTCAGACATTTGCTATTTATGCACACTTTTTATTTCTTCAGGTGTATTTGCGCTTGGATCAGCCTGTAACAGCTTTGAACCTTTTCAAGCAAGGGTTAGATCGATTTCCTGGAGAAGTGACTCTTATTTGTGGAATTGCCAGAATCTACGAGGTATGCACCCACTGTGCAGTCCTTACTGTGTGACCAAGGTTAGCTGTCTGAGCAAGAAAAAAGAGGAAATAGTTGAATATCACTGTAAGGTCATAAAAAATTAGCTACGCTGATTTTCAATATCACTAATGCAAAACATGTAACATTACACAAATATATCAAAGTAATGTCAGAGGAGCCTTTCAGGCTCATGTGTTTAAATGGTTAATTGTACTAGTGAGATCTGTTTACCCTTGACACACAGAAGCAAGTCCAGGTTAAATCAAGTGGCCCAGATGTTGTCCATGTAGCTAGGTCTAGTTTATATATGTTTCATTGTACTAAAACTGCTCAAGTCACCAACAGCCTGCTGGTGGGATTAAACAGCAAAATAGTCTGGTCATCAGTGTTGTCTTTATTAGCACTATCGTGCCACTATTAGTTTCTTAAGCCAGTAAGAACACTGAATGAAATGTGAATGTTTCTTAGTTTAGAAAGTACATGTTATTTTAAGTAGGATTAAAGTAGTTTTATTTTAGCTCGATAAACATATAATTTTGTGTTTTAAGAAAGACAATGTATTTGTACTTTAAAAGTGTGTGTCTTCTTGTCAAACAGTGGACTTAATGCTGGTTTGCACTGAAAGTTGGGAATGATGCTATTGCAGAACAAATGTTTTGAAGTCATTATTTTATTTTTTTTTGTCTGCACTCATACTTGGCATTCTTTCCTGTTCTCATCATTCTCGTCTAACCCCTAAGCGTTAATCCATTTTCATATTAAATCCTTTTTGTCCTTCAGCAAGGAAGTAAACAGCTGCATAATTTTTGGAGGCTTTTCTTTCTGAATTGTTAAACACTTTTTAATATGGATGTCATTTTACAGAGCCACACATAACATTGCATAACCCTTTAAGGAATTATTGAAGAGCAGCATATAGCTGACAGGATCTAGTTTTGCACTGACACCTGAGTGTAAGATGATAGCTTCATTAGCAAAGATTTGTACTGCATCACAGGGCTGTTCTCATTGCACAGACTCACAAGTGGAATATATGTATCAGACGTCTTAGAGCTTTTCTTCTCTGTCACTACCTTTTGACAGTAGGAAGAGTTGTAGATCTTTTGGTTTTTTTTTTTAAAAAAAAAACATTATTTTAAAGTGACTACTTTGTAACTATTTCCTTTATTCACAGGAAATAAATTTTTTTTCATAACTAATTACGCTGTGGAACTTATTCTTTAGTCATGCTGAGAACACAGTGTATCTACAGCATTCAGGGAGAAGTTATTCCTCTCTAAACACAGAAGTGTGTTTTGCTCCTTTAATTTATTTTCTTCTGATATGGGGTAGAGTACTCTGATGACTTGCACTCCTCAGAAACACTGTGATATTGTTTACAGGAATAAGTTAACCCCAATTCATCTTCCAAGTAGCATACATCCAAGCACAAGTTTATACAATATAGTTCTCGTAACTTGCATATCCTTCCTTGTACAAGTTTTGGTGATAAATCCATGGTTCCTGTTTTCAAAGGCGTGTAATAATTGTTCATATACAATTATATCTTCATTTACATTTAGAGCAATTAATGAGTTGACTTCGAAAGCATTGAAAACAATTAAGACACAGACTGGAGAACTAAATCTGCTGTATGTTATCATGTTACTAGGAAACCCATTGCCCAGTACTGTGTATCACATGGCATTGTGCACAAAGTAGCAATGCCCATTGCACATGCTAAGCTTCTGACCAATCTCTTTCTCTAAAAAAAGAAATACAAATAAATCTCTTTTTGTAGGTATGGCATAGATTTAATGATGAATGCAGCTAGCACTGATAAATTATTATCTATTTTTTTTGTGGATGTATGTGTTGCTTGTGAAGATGCCAATTGATAATGTTGCATTGTGTGATCAAAGAACTGTAAGAGCGTACATAATTAATGTCAGTTAAGTACTGTACAAGGCAAGGATAAATCACTCCGCCAAGTGACATTTTAGTAAGTTTTGTGATAAAAAGTAGAATTAATCTGATTTTTTTCCAACTGTATAGGAGATGAACAATATATCCTCAGCTGCAGAGTACTATAAAGACGTCTTGAAACAAGACAACACTCATGTGGAAGCCATTGCATGCATTGGCAGTAACCATTTCTATTCAGACCAGCCCGAGATAGCTCTGCGGTTTTATAGGTATCTACGCTTGTGGGGAGGGAGGGGGAACTGCATGCGTGGGAAGGAAGTATAAAGGGTTGACTTTTGTAATGCTGGTGACAAAAAAGAGGACATAAGGAGATTGGCATGGGAGGATGATTGAGGGTTCAGACAAATTTCACCATAAAATCAGCATACTAACTTAGTATCTCCTCAGCCAGTGATAATTACATCTCTATCTTAAAAACTTGTCATTGTTACATGTGGAATATATAGAAGTATCAACAAAGGTTATGAAAACAGTTATTCAATTAATAAACAAGAAATGATCTTTCACACCATGGGACAGTTTGAGAACACTGGGTTTAAGTTGCATTCAGAAAGTACATGGACTTCCTATCTAGCCCTTTGAAAAAGAGCAGTCTTTGAAAAACTCACCTGAAGTCATGAGCAGTTCTGACAACAAAATCCCTCACCTGAACATGGGCTGGGGTTCCCCCATATTTTACTGAAAGCAATAAAAAGACAGTGTTAAACAATGCTGCTTGCTTTTAATTTCAAGACAGTCAGAGTGCAAAGGATCCTGACTCATGTTCTCTAAGTCTAAGAGCACATAAAATCAATATAAGCACTGCCATATAATTTCTGTTGGACCTGAGCTCTTGTATGCTTTAGTTTCAGAAACTCACAGTCATGCTGCAGACAGCAGCCCTCTTTTTCCTTGGCCCTCTTAGCATGTCTGTTTTTCCTATAAATATAAATAAAAAGAATTTTTATAAAACATCTCCATTCTAAAAGGCACATTAAACAACATCAGTTTGAATCGAAAGCTGAGTTATGCTTCAAATGTAAGATTAATACAGATTCACGTACTAAATGTACTTGTACTGATTAGGGCAGTGCTGAAGGACAGGAATCAAGCAAAAAATTGAAGTCTGAAGCATTATAAAAAGTCACTGCAATAAATTACAGCTTGATTGAGGTTGAGGGATTGGAAAGAGGAAATGAAGGAAGTCTGTACAGCTCTGTCTTTTGTGGCACGGTCAACAAGACAGAAGCTATCTAATTTACACAAAGGCTGTTGGGCACAGCTTTGATTCTACTGACCAAAAATGCCCTGCACTGCCCTTCATGAAACCTTTACCAAGTGTAGGACTACAACATGTGGTTATTTCACACTCTTCAGAATAGAAAGGAGGAGAGAACTTTGTTATTTAGAATAAAACTCAAAATTGATCTCAAAAAAATAAACAAAAGTTTTCTTTCAATCTAGACGGCTCCTGCAGATGGGTGTTTATAACTGCCAGCTTTTTAACAATCTGGGTCTCTGTTGCTTCTATGCCCAGCAATATGATATGACACTATCTTCATTTGAACGTGCACTGTTTTTGGCTGAAAATGAGGAGGAGACAGCAGATGTGTGGTACAACTTGGGACACGTGGCTGTGGTATGAAAATTATTAACAACCTTTCTGAACCAATACAATTTTACAAAACCTTGAAAAAGAATAACTAGGCAGGAGTCATTGCCTTACTTCAAAATATGAAACCAAATAGTGTGCAGGATGAAGTGCAGTACAAATTAAAGGTTTGTTTGCACTTCACTAGAGAGGAACAGACAAAAGGAAAATTTCGGTGTATCTTCACAGAGTGTCGCTTACTCCTGCTAAAAGATGCAACCCATAGCAGCCATTGAAGGCCTTTGCTGCAATACGAGCTACTCTGACAAGAAAAAATTGAATTCAGGATGTTTTCCTCTGAGAGGTTTTTGGTGTTACATGGAGCATTAGACCAATTCTGTTGTCATAAAAATACATATTCAGCAGCATGTAGCAGACACTAAAGCACTATGTATGTCATAGTTGAGAGGAGATATTCCTGTCTTTTAGACAGCTATAGAAACATTGTGTATTTGTGTGATAATGTTTGTTAAATATCTACACTAATTTGCATTTACTGCCCATTTTTGCAGATGTTCTTCCAGAAGTTATGTTAGGTTTCTGTTTAGCTGTGTGCCCAGAATAAAGTTACGGAATAAAGATTGTGACAGCTTTCTAACATGAGTTGTATTCAAATGCTGATTATGATTTAACTTAAGCCAGGGAGAAACTCAGCTGTCCATCTTGTTTATGCTGCAGCTAGGATAAACACAGTAATTTATTCTACTTAAAACACTGAAATTGGAACTGATGTGCCTATATTTTTTAGCATTTGTCACTTTTAATGTTTAACCTGATGCTGTGTCATGTCATGTGTTGGTCATGACACTAGAGCGTTAAAGAGTAGTCAGCTGCTCCATAAAAAGAAATTAATCTCCCTTATTTTGTATCTTCTTAAAACTAGGCTTGTTTGTGATTTTTTTTTTTAATCTCTGTAGAGGCACAGAGGCAAGATGACTTCCCCCCTAGAAACATCTCTATTTTTCTTCCCTTACTACAGATGATAGCAAATAGTGTAGTCAGATGACACTTCAGTCATCAGTTAAATTAGATGAAGAGAATAGCACTCAGAGCATGGAAGTTTGTGCTGGAAACAATTCTGTCTGGAGGAAGAATAAAAAGCAAATGAGAGGGACTGAGAAGAAAACATATGGTTCTGATCAGCATGTTTTTATTGTAAATTGTATTTCATGGTAGTGCATATGGGTGAAAAGATATTCCAGACAACAAAACAGATGCATGTTGTTTCCTATCTTTTCACAAATTAAAATATAATCTTACTTTTAGGGAATAGGAGACATGAATCTTGCTTACCAGTGTTTCAAGCTGACACTGGTGCACAATAACGACTATGCCGAAGCTTACAACAACTTGGCTGTGCTGGAAATGCGAAAAGGTCACGTCGAACAGGTTCGTGTTGCATCTCAGACTACACAGAGTGCTTCCTTCGGCCCTTTTGTACTTAAATGTTTCATTTCACTGAGGTGGAGGCATCATATGAACATCTAGCTTCCTATTGCAGAGAAGCAAACATGGATAACTTATGCACGTTCCAGTGTAACCTCCACATTGTCACACCATCTCCCATTGAACTGCTCATTCTCAGGCATACCCAGATGGTTCATCAAAGGCAAACAAGGTTTACAGTGGGTTTGCAATCTTTCTTCTAAACTAATACCCAAACCAAAACCCATCACACTGAAATCATCACTAAAATTACATTTTTGACTATATATTCAGTTTATAAATGCAGATAATATACTTCTGTTGGATAGCAGAAGACAGCAATCAGATCAGCTCTTAAAAGATTTTTTCAAGTGCTATCAGGGACAACAGTTGGAGTGAGACTTCAAGTGCTTTGTTTTTTAGTTGGTATATTCTGTTCAGTGTTTAAAACTGAACTGCTTAGTTGAATAAGTCCCAACATGTTTTCTCTGACTCAGTCAAGAGTCTTATTCATTTCAATGCTATAAAATTATATTATGCCTAAATGTACTATTGGTGTAATCCATACATAGTTGAAGGTGGCTTTTTTAGTGAAGGCCTAGGAAAAAAACACAGGATTTCTTTTAAGAATGATGAAAATTATATTAGATTCTTGTTACCCTCACAGACTTGACTATATTTTTTTTTCTCTACCTAGGCAAGAGCTTTGCTGCAGACTGCATCATCTTTAGCACCTCATCTGTATGAGCCCCATTTCAACTTTGCAGTACTCTCAGAGAAGGTAATGCACTATACTATTCTTGTAATCTAAAAATTGAGCCTTGGTGGGGCAGTTGGGTTTTTATTACATGAAATTACAAATAGGTAAGAGAATAGAGTACAGAATGCATAAACTCAAGGAAAACTAAAAGTTTCATTTTAATAGCCAGAAGCTTTGTGTCTAAAAGTAGTTACTCAAATGTTTGCTTTTGAGAATGAATGAGACCAACAAGCTATAAAGTGACCTTGTAATTTTTCAAATGCCTAGAAGATGAACAATCTGTTAGCAATTCCATCTAAAGTCTTTGTAGTTGTTGGCTTTTTCAGAACATGAAGTGAAATAGTATCATATGATTTATCAGTTATTATAGAAAGGATATCATTTATTCTTCCCACAATCTTATCTCAAATGTTAAGTCTGTTCTTCAGCTTTACAACCTTTGAATTTTGTGTTAATAATTTCTTTCGTACAGAGCATCTCAGACACTGAATTAACAGTGTGTCCAATATCTCTGTTTAGAAGGAGAAACTGGTACAAGTCCTTACATTTTTTTGCAAGAAAAAATTGCTCCTTTGCTTGTGCCTACACCTTCAAGATTGTGTTATGAGTCTGTGTTGTGTGGGCAGCCCAACGCCTACAGATACTAAAGTACATGTGTCAAAGAGAGAACAACCCATTAATTTGTAAGTGTATCCTCTCCATTGTGAAACACAGGATGATTTTGATTAATTGCACTCTACTTACAGATGAAGGAGTAAATCCTAGGCTGCAAATGTCTTGTCACATAGCTTTTGCACAAAGAACCTGTGTAGGTTTTGGGAGGAGACAGGTGGCCAGATCAGCTAGATGTTGATTCAGTGTAAGGCCATGGTTTCCAAAAACATAACTTCCCTGGCCAGGACTCTGGTTTCTTCCCCTTCAGAGAATTCTTGCTGCACTGAAGTTTTGTGTTGACTGATGCACAGGCAACAGAGGCCTCCTACTGATGCTTCCCATAGCCTCTTCCTTTCCAGCTGGGAGCTCTCATTTTTACTAGATGTGTTCCCAGACATTTGGGTTCTTTTTTGCTGAATCCACTTTCTGAGATACTCTCCTGACACACACTTCCTCCTTCTGAAAAGTAATGGCTATTTAGGAAAAAATAAAAGTTCCCTGAGTAGGGAACAATGTGGAAATGTACTTCTAAAAGCCGCAGTGGAGCAACGTCAGCTCTCCAATACTGTCATGCCTCTCTGTGAGGAAGCAGGAAACACATGGAGTTGTGGCTTTTACAGAGGCCTAATTGGTTGTGTGTTGCCTGTATACACCACAGCAATTCTATGGAGTTTAAAACCGAATCTTCCATTTTTTATTGCTCCTCACTTCAAGCACTGGGCATGGTATACCTTATCTATTCTTCAGTAATTAAGTGGAATGGGGTATAAAGTTACTGTCTTGACGCATCCCTCCCATTAAAATCACATTTCTGTCTTGTCATCCCTTGACGTAAGAGGGGCATCACCCTGAGTTCAGAAGCCTCCATGCTGACTCCTTTATTTCTTCACTCTCGGGACGAGCTACGTTTAAACATTTGTGAGCATCAGAAATGTGCTGCACAGAACACATGATGCAAATACTGCAATGCTTAGATTTACAAAATTTGTGTTTCTTACAGGTTGGAGATCTTCAGAGGAGTTATACAGCTGCTCAGAAGTCAGAAGAAGCATTTCCAGGCCACGTTGATACACAACAGCTCATCCAGCAATTAAAACAGCACTTTGCTATGCTCTGATAAGCCTGGGTTTTATTATGTAAAAACACTTGTCCAGAGCAAGCATCCCATACATCTTTTCGAAAATACTAGCTCAAAGTAGATGAACTATACTTAATGCATTCCTGTGGCAAAGCCTGTGTTACTTTGAGTAGCAAGAAAGGTTTAAGAGTCCTAATTAGTTTGTCATCTTAAAATATAGCACACATTAGAATGCAGCCTGAACACTTGTTGCAGCTACATGCAGGAGAGATCACAGGACTAGCAGGATATTTACTGCTAGTATGACAACTTTGAAAGAGTTGTCTGGTATATGAGTAAGTAATTCTCCACTTAATATTAATGAACATTTTAAAGCATTTTTCTGACTTTTCTGCAGAAAAAAAAAGTGGTTTTAAATATTCCTGTGCAACAATATATCAGGTAACACAGAGTAAGAGTACATCCTAAATGGTCTTAATACTTGGCTTTTGATAGTATACTTTCTTACTGAATGTTAAATTTTAAACCTAAAATATCTGAAAAGAATTTAAAATACATACATAAAGAAGATGACCTTATATTCCTTCTTGTACTGTACTAATTAAATTCCAGTTTCTATGGTTTGTCTCATTTGTTTGTGTGAGTTAAAATTACATCCTTATTGCCATGAAAATTAGAGTCAGTGATCTTAACATATTTTGAAAGACTGCAGAACTGGTACAAAAGAGCATAAATGTGTGTTCCTCTCTACTCTGGAGAGAGTTTATTCTTGTTTTCAGTGAGGGAAAATGATATTTAGAAGCTTGCAGAGTTAAGTATCAATAATTGAGAACAAGGCATTGATTGGGTGGTTACCTGTGCTACCACATAAGCACTATTGCTAAATAAATATTTGTATCATCCTAACTACAAGATTATTACTAATAGTAACAAACATTTTCTGTCATACATATTTGTGTTCTAACTAAAAGGGATAAATTTGCATTATTTCCCAGCTTGACCTTTTTAAAAGGCCTTTAAGAAATGTGGGATGTTAAGGCATTATGAAATGGCACATCCTGAAACAGACCTTTAAAATCCTTTCATATTTCTCTAATACATTAAGAGATTATCTTGGCTGAAAATGCTTATGAATATTATGTCTTCCTTTTTACTATTTGTTGCTTCCCGACCCTCATCTTTGTGTGACTGATGTAGCTGGTGAAGGCAGATGCTGGGAAGCCTAGAGACTGGTACCCACAGGATCCCCCACAGAGCAGTCTGTAGGTGACAGAAACAGTCATTAGCTGATGTCACATTATGTTGTGAAATGCAAAAGCATTGCTGGCTGAATAGATACAGCATCTTTCATGGAAACTTTATTTTTTCCACAGTGGTCTTTATATTGTTGGAAATTTGTTACAAGCTAATTAAGAGACAACCTTAGTTACCAATAATTTTAAGTACCTACATAAAGTTTTAGTTTTTGCTAAAAACGAAGAATTTATAGGGAAATTCCATCCTTTGTTCTAATGTACTTATGTCTTTCCAGTTGACAGTGCTATACTTGGGAAGCTACCAGAAAAGAAAGTGTTTGTCATAGCAGTTTCAACACAACTGTTAGGAGTTTTTGAATGTCATAAAAATACTCAGAGTATTTTTAAAATTGCATTGTAAACAAGATTATTTCTATATAAACTGGAACAGAAAAATCAATGCAACTTCAGTTTTTAATCCAGTGTGGCAACTCAGTAGTTCCTCACAGGTGCTTTTAGGATCCCATTTACTATGATCATGGCTCAAGTTGATCTGGATAACTCTGCTTTTTAGTAAATGGTACTCCTTAGAGCATAGATCTGATGTGATTATTCCCCCCCTCGGGGGAAGACTGGAGTCTGAAAGGGAGAAGGCCCACGTATGGTAAGGAACCCTTTACACAAGATGCTTGTGCAAATTATTAAGAAAAACACCACCACACAAACACACAATGTTCTAAATAAGGATTAAAACTGTTTTATCTCCCCCACATGCAGTATCTGCAAGCCATTCCAAATTTATCTTGCATTGCGTATTTTGGTTGCCCCAAAAGACAACAGCTATTTGCTTTGTTTCCATGCCCAGAAGCAAGCGTACAACAATATTTTTTTCATGACTAGCACACGTACAAATGATATCAAATGTGGTCATGAGAACAGCACCACAATGAAACAACAGATGAATGAGAAGGCTGTTGGACATGGAAGAACCTTTCAGTTTTGGTGTGTGTTAAGACGGTGGGAGCTCCAGCAAACAAGAATCAGCAGGTCCTGGGGCAAACTGCCTGCAGTTAACTGAGGACAACACAGCATGACACAGTGCAGCAGAACCTCTGTTCATCTCTGCAGTAGGATCATGTTAGGAAGGTGTGACCTTGATAATGCGAGCAGCATTGCCCTAACATAGAAATCATTTTTAGTCCAACCTGCAGCATAGCTCTAGCTATGTCCAGCCAGTATTTTTAAAGCCCCTTGGGAGTAGAAAATTAAATACAATGAAAAAACACTTTTTTTAAACTACAGGGGAGATGGTGTCCACAATACTGCCTGGAAGGAAGCTCAAAGCACATTACTGGGAGATCTTGAAGTTTCTAGTTTCTAGGCCCTGAAGAAGAGGTCTGTACAGTTTATGGCTGTTAACAAATCCAGTCAGTATTTTGGACAGCCCATATGCTGGGGTCTTTCTGATGGATGAATCTATTTAAAAGTTGTTAAGAAGGGTTAGGTTATTAATGGATTTTGATTGTTTTGCAAGATGTCGTAGCCACAGCACCAGCCACAAAATTGTGGCTGAAATTGATCAGTTTGGTGTGGATCATTTCAGCTGCAAAAAGCATCCTCAGATGTTGTTGAGCAGGACAGGAGCAGTTTACCATTGGGTGCCGGTTCAGTCACTGTAAGACTGGGTAACAGTCTAATTTTGTTGCTGTTGCTGCTGGTGGTGGTGGTTTATTTGATTGCTTCCTATCTTTGTAGGCTAGAGGGAGAGACTTTGGGGTCATTCAGTCTGATCTCTGATGTGATGTAGGCCAAACACTTAAAGCCAGGAGCTCTTTTAATGAGCCTGGTTTGTGCATGACCAGCAATTATCTGCCAGAGCAGCAGTTAAGTTTTGATATGGAAAAGCTACAGCATTTTTCTGTGAAAGATTTTTAGTTTATTCATTCTCACTACTCTGCCTTCTTTCTGATGGATGATTTCAAGCTCATTCATGTCCCTCTGGTTTACCTGCCCCCCCCAGCCAGTATGTACTCATACTCCAGCTCCAGCTGGTGAGCCATCATTAGGATCCACCACAGCTGGGCAGGACCATGGCCACACCTTACTTTGCCACCAGAGCTGTCACTGGCAACTGTGGTGGTTGTTTTTGACCCAATGCACTGTTTGTTTCCCTACCACCACAGAGCATGAAATAGCTTAGAAGAACCCTTTGCACCAACCCACCTGTCCAGACGAGGACATGCTGTTTTACTCCATACAACAAGAAGCAGTTGCTGTGAAACTGTACTGGCAGGTATCAGCTATGCCCCTTCAACAAGGGCAGAACTGGTCCATCCAAATGCAGGTCAAAAATCAGTTCAGGATAAGTGCAGGGGGAAAGCAGCTGCCTATCAAGAAGCTAAACAAGCTAAGTTAAATGCTTTGTGAGATCCCACCCTGTTCCTCTCCTACTCCAGGGGAAGTCTCAGAATTGCCGTTCTGAGGTTCCGTACGGCAATATGAAGCATGGGGCAGAAAGGCACTGTGGAATCGGACTCGGAGAGAAGGTGAGCTCTCCTCAGAGGGCCAGGGCGAGAGACAGGGTGCACGATTTTCTCTGCTTGTTAGAATCTATTTAAGGTCTAGGGCTGCTACAAACTCCCAGTTCCCAGCAGATGCCTGTGTACACACACTAATTTTGCACCGCCAAGTGCTGCAGGCCCCAGGATAGTGTTTTGCTGATATCCCAGCCATCGCCGGGAACAAGCAAGCAGATGGTGGATGGAGCGTGCAAAATGTCCCTTGCTCCAAATAAAAACATAAAAGTTTCTTTTTGTGCCTTAGAAGATGAATGAAGCAAAAACCAAGAAAATATGATATTCAAATCATATACAGACTTGTATCTCCAGTCATTTCAATTCTTGTGCTGGTAACCTAGTTGTGTTGTGCATTTCCCTATTCTAATTTTTAGAGTTTAAGATCATTCAGGAGGTGTAAACACTCAGAAGTATCTGTAAGCATGTTAAGTCTGGGAGATATGCCAAATATAGCACTTTTCCTTGCAAACTATCAAGTAAACATACCCTGAATTACACTAAGCTGAATGATCTTTATGAGTACTCTATTTACCTTCTCCTTTCTGTTGGTTAGTTACAGCAACTGCTTAGTTCTCAGCCTTCTCCCTTCTTGTGCTTGGTCTACAAGACTCAAAGATTTAGCTGAAAAAGGCTTCCTAGTTAGATACTAGACCTGTACAGAATATATACTAAAAAGAGATTAAATCAATGACTTTATAGTAAAAAGTTCTCTTTCCAGCACATAATGCATTATATTTAATTGTGTATGTGAATATATCAGCCCATAGAAATGCAGTTTTCCCCCATTTCCTGTTTGCTTTTTGACAGGTATTGCCAGTGAAACTGATTATATTGCTTCAAGGTCTTGAAACTGTTAGAAATGAGATGGAAGAAGAAACAGCATGATGCAAACATTGCTCAGCACCATGGAAAGGACAAACTCAATAAGAGCCAGGAAACTTGGTTCCAGCAAGTAGGCAACCACAGCCATTTCTTCTCATTTTCAGATTATTCAGTTTATGTAGCCAAAAAGTAACTGCCAAGATTTTACATTTTAGCTTTGGCATTTACACGGCTGTCAGTTCCATATTTTGGCAGGTCTATATCCTATAATAATGCCAAGCACCTTTAAAGCTATTACACGTGTTAGCTAATAAATCCTTACATACAATAGATCATACTAACCAAGGGTCATAAAACCTTTGATCAAGAGGGTCTGGTATGTTTGTGTATGAGATACCACACAAAAGCCAATTTAGGAACATAGCCCTAGACTATTTTTATTCCCATGAATTACCATAAGCAGACAGTTCAGGGTTCAGGT